TAATAAGTTTTGTGGGATTTCATAGTTTCTTTTAGATGTACTCATTCTTGATGAGGTAGCTCTTGTTAACGTATTTGGTACACTTGAAGTACTTAATCTTTCTTTTACAATTTCTAAATCTTCTTCTATGTCAATTTCTTTATAGCTATAGTCATTATTGTCTATTACAGTAATTATTTTTTCGAAAGAATTTTCTATTGTAACTTTGTCTTGATAGATAGTCTGCAATCAAATTTTTGTCAGTTTTGATTACCTCGATTGTAAATGTAAAATTTAATATATTTAATACTAACCTCCTTATTTCTTTTGTTGTAACTGAATCTTCTACCTTTTTGGTTATTCACCATTTTACCTGTGTATTATCTGTTCTTACAATAAATTTATTATAAACAATATATGGTTCAAATGCTAATAAACACTTATATAATGCAAATAATTCCTTTCTATTTATTTCTCATTTTATTTGTGCTTCTGTATAAGATCCTGAATAATATCTACAATGATATTCTATTTTTTCTTCCTCATATTTGTATTTTAGAACTCCTCCATAGCTATGATCACTTGAATCTGTTTCAACAATATAAACAAATGATTTATTTTCATCAGGAAAGTAAAGTTTTGGTAATTTTTTACATAATTTCTTAATATTTTTTATATGTTCTTTATCTTTATTGTCGAAATAGTATATATATATATATATATACTAAATGATAGGATAATCATGAACTCAAATAGGATAGATCAGTCAGCTATTGCGTCCGACATACATCAAAACTAGTGCAGAATTTTGTTACGATATTAGCCGATTTCCAAGATTTTGCCTTCCTGAGAAAGAAAACAAAGCACTGCTTTAACAACCAAAGGAGAACAAAAGCAGGTAGACTTGCGCTATTCGAGCGACAAACTTTAAGAAAAAGAATAGTGTGATGCCCTTGGAACAAATAACCACTAAATAGCGAGTTTAGACGCGAGTAAGTGAAACCAAAAACGATATTCATGAATGGATACCAGAATGGTCCAACATGGCTTATAAGGCAATATCAATATATCAAGAACTCAAAAATATCAACAGCAACACAGATTCCCAGTATAGCGAAGAAATAATTGAACAAAAAAAAACTTTATAGCATTTGACAAAAGCAGCAGCAAATCTATACGCTAACGGAGAAAACTAATCTTTCAAAAAACATGGATAAAATAGTGAACAAGATCACAGTAAATAAAGCATGAGTTTAAACCAAAACTAAGTTATTATATCTCAGCAAAGCCTACACTTAAAGATGTCAAAAGGTTATGCATGGATAGAATTGTTTTGAGTAAATTTACACACATGAATAAAGGGAAAACAATTAGCTTTTCCTTAAACTAGAACACATGTAGGCAGTCAACTCGAGCTCATGTGTTTCAAAAAGGAAAAAAACCTAAAGATAAATATATAAATCACGAAAAGCCTAAAAAGACCTTTGTTTCTTCACCTATTAATCTCACTACAGTAATGGAAAACTGAAACTACACACAAGACAAGGCCAAAATTTGCAATGAAAGATTCAAGTTGCACAACAAGTAAGCTCAACACAGGAAATCGAATATACTTTAAGCTATTTCGGGTAGCACAAAAACAGAGAATCGGCTATTTTCGAGACAAAACGGACTCATGCCAAAACTGGCAAAATTAATCCAACACTATTCTACTATTCTGCGCAGCAACCCGATCACTGTTAACTTGAGATAATCAAAGAGAAAACGTGAGAGCGAAGGAACAAGTACCTTTTCTGGAGCAGCGAATTCGGATGGAACGATCAGGATCGCGATCTTCCCACCACAAAACTCGAGCCTCGAACGAAATGAAGGAAACAATGTAAACGTAAAGAAGATGGGATATCTAGACCAAAACTAAAACCAACTCTGCTTCTAAAATCTTACTGTATTTCTCAGCTATATCTCTTAATGTTACTCCCTATTTTTTGCACTAAAAAAACGTAAGACTCAAAGATCCCCTTCCTTTCTCCTCTGTGTTTTTTTTTTTAAAAAAAAAACTAAAATTCTGGACCAAAAAAAATCCTCTGTGTTTATCTGTCTCAAAAATTTCTTCCCCCATTTTTTTCCCAAAAAAAAAAACCCTATCCACTGAAAAAAAGAAAGGAGTTTATATAGATGGAGACTAGTGTCCCGCCCCGCAAGGCGGAACATTAAATTCTGTCAATTCAAAAAACGCTGCAGCTATTCCTCAAAGCTTGGAGGGTCCAAAATGCCTTGTCAAACTGCCTCCCCAAATGCTGGAGGTTGCTTGCCAACATGGAGAAAACAGGCCATGCTCACCAGGCCAGCCAAGGGGTGAAGGACAAAATTCTGTCCAAGCAGTCTGCCATATGGCAGTAAAGCTGTGAAGACAAAGCTGCCTCCTCTCTAGCCTCTGAAAACCTGCCACTTGGAGCTTTTAATTTTGAATGTTTGCCCACACGTTTTTGGCTCACTTTTGGAGCCTTTGTATATGGTAGAAGTTGCATTTTCAGCAGATAGTTAGAAAAATACTTCCTCTTACTTTGTAAAAGCTCTTGGAAGCTCTCTCTTGGAAAATATTGGAAAATTGGCCTTGCTGCCTCCCAAACTTGGTTGCCTTTCTTGCTTGCATTCTTGCCTTTATTTTCTGTTTTGTGTCTTTGCTTGTGGACTCTTGCTTTAGATTCTTTGGACGTTTGGTTGGACTGAAGTTAGAAGAGCTGTGCAAGCCATCTTGACTGTCCTTCACGGTGCTGAAAAATTCACCCCGTGACAAGTTGGTATCAGAGCAGCAGTTAAGCATGACGTCTAGGTCGCAGCGGAATGAGGAGAACGTTCAAGACAAGGAACCAGAGGTTCGGAAAGAACCATCCAAGAAACGAGACAAGAGTAAGGTAAGAGAGCCCTCTTCTACCCCTTCTCTTGCTAGTCGAACTGTTGTTGAAGAGGAAGGAGGTTCGGACAACAACCCACTCGACGAGAGAATCGTCGGAGTTGAGGTGGGGTTGTCGGCCTTGAACCGGAGGATTGTAGTGGTTGAAAATAATTTTAGTTCCCTCGAGTCCGTAGCCATTGAGGGGCTGGACGAGGTGAAGAACAGCTTGGGTGAACTTGAAGACATGCAACGAGAGGGTCTGTCAGCCCTTGAAATCAAGTTCAACGAAACCATCTCTGCTCTTCAAAAAGAGGTGGAGGCTTTGAAACGGCAGGTTGATGAGACTGCCGAGGTGAGAGTTGCTCCTCCCGTTACAGTTCGAGAGAACCGGATTGAGGCTCCTAAACCCAAAGAGTTTCGAGGGGAGAGGAGTACTCAGGACGTAGAGAACTTCATATGGCAAATGGAGTCATATTTCAAACATGTTGACATGCACACGGAAGCGGCCAAAATCCGAACAGCGGCTATGTATTTGACGGACACAGCCATGCTGTGGTTGCGACGCAAAAAAGGCTGATATGGAGAGAGGGGCTTGCCAGATTGATGATTGGGAGCAGTTTAAAACTGAGCTCAAACGACAGTTCTATCCCCAGAACGTCGTCCACGAAGCCCGCAGGCGATTGAGGGAGCTAAAGCAAACTTCCTCCATCAGGGATTATGTTAAGGAATTCACGAAGTTGACGCTTCAGATTCCTAGTTTGACGAGTGAGGACTTGCTGTTCTATTTCCTTGAGGGCCTGCAAAATTTGGCCAAGCAGGAGCTGCAAAGGCGTCAAGTGCATGACGTTGATGAGGCGATCGTAGTGGCGGAGTCGCTCAACGACTTCCGTGGTGATGCTGCCAAGGGGAGGGATAACAGGAGCAGAACTATTCCTCCCAAAGTCGACAACAACAACAGGGGCCGTAGCAGACCAAATACCAACCAGAGCAATGACACGAGACCGCAAGAGGGGAGCTCCTCAGCGGGAAGGCTGTTATATCTGTGGAGAGACGACACATGCCGCTCGGTACTGTCCGTCGTTGAGGAAGCTTAGCGCCATGGTGGCTGCCGAGAAGCAGCAAGAGAATGCTGCAGCGCAAGCAAACAGTTCTGCCGGTGAGAAACGTGGGCAGAGTAGCGGAGCTGACAAAGGCAAGAACGTGGCCGTAGGGATGTTCAACCGTATGGCGCTGATCAACCACATCTCCATTACTGCCTTGGCTGCCAAACCAGCTGGAGTCAGGCCTCGGGAGTCATTGTTCGTCGATGCCAAACTGAACGGCAAAGACGTGCAGATCATGGTAGACACAGGGGCAACCCACAACTTTGTGACTGAGCAAAAGGCCAAGGAGTTGAGCCTAAATTATGTTGCCAGTAATACCAAGTTGAAGACCGTCAACGCCACTCCCACTACTGTCAATGGTTTTGCGGCTGCAGTTCCAATTGAGTTAGGAGAATGGGCCGGGCAAACTGACTTTATAATTGCGCCAATGGATGTTTTTGATATCATTTTAGGACTTGACTTTTGGTATGAAGTTAATGCCTTCATCTCACCGCGTCACAACCAGCTACATATTAGCGACGTTGGAGGGTCTTGCGTGGTACCCCTTATTTGGGTACCACAAACTGGAATGCAGTTGTCAGCAATGCAGATCATCAAGGGGTTCAAGAGAGGCGAGCCAACATTTATTGCCACTCTAATTGAAGACGCTGGGAGCTGCGATGAAGCAGTTCCATTGCCACCCTGCATCGAACACGTCCTTAGCAGCAACAAGGACGTTATGCCAACCGAACTTCCCCAACGGCTGCCACCTCGGAGAGAAGTTGACCATCAAATTGAGCTAGTTCCAGGGGCAAAGCCGCCTGCCATGACGCCTTATCGCATGGCGCCCCCGGAGCTGGAGGAGCTAAGGAAGCAGCTCAAGGAGTTGCTGGATGCTGGGCACATCAGGCCGTCCAAGGCGCCGTTTGGTGCGCCTGTACTGTTCCAGAAGAAGAAGGATGGGACACTGCGATTGTGCATCGACTACCGAGCACTCAACAAGGTCACAGTAAAGAACAAATACCCCGTGCCTTTGCTTGCAGATTTGTTCGACCGGTTGGGACAGGCGAAGGTGTTTACCAAAATGGATTTGAGAAGAGGCTATCACCAAGTCAGGATTGCCGATGGTGATGAGCCGAAGACTGCTTGTGTAACGCGTTATGGGGCGTTCGATTGGCTGGTAATGCCATTTGGGTTGACAAACGCACCGGCAACGTTCTGCACGTTGATGAACAGACTGTTCCACTCCTACTTGGATCAGTTTGTTGTGGTTTACCTGGATGATATCATTGTCTACAGCGACAACATGGAAGACCATGTAGAACACTTGTGCATAGTGTTTGAGATTCTGCGCAACAATGAGCTGTATGTGAAGCGTGAGAAGTGCAGTTTCGCACAACCAATTGTGCGTTTCCTTGGGCACACTATCAGCCATGGCAAGATTCAAATGGATAGCGACAAGATAGCTGCTATCAACAATTGGGAAGCACCAACGAAGGTACCATAATTGAGGTCCTTCCTTGGCCTGGCTAATTACTACCGGCGCTTCATCTTCAATTATTCCGCAATTGCAGCACCTCTCACAGACTTGCTGAAAAAGGACCGTGCCTGGAATTGGTCGGCAGCTTGCCAAACTGCCTTTGAGAGGCTGAAGTTGGCTGTGACGCAAGAGCCTGTGTTGGCCTTGCCAGATTTCTCCAAGCCATTCGAAGTCCACACGGATGCATCGGACTTCGCTATAGGTGGCGTCCTAATGCAAGAGGGCCACCCGATAGCCTATGAGAGCCGGAAACTGAATGAAGCGAAGCAGCGGTACTCAGCACATGAGAAGGAAATGACTGCCGTGGTGCACTGCCTGAGAACGTGGCGCCACTACCTGCTGGGGGCTCACTTTGTCGTCAAGATGGACAACGTCGCGACGACATATTTTAAGTCCCAAAAGAAGCTGTCCGCCAAGCAAGCTCGATGGCAAGACTACCTGACTGAATTCGACTTTACCCTGGAGTACAAGCCGGGGAAGGCAAACGTAGTGGCTGATGCCCTTAGCCGCAGGACTTCATTGGCAACTATTGTGAGCTCAACCAGCAGCTCAATTGTTGACGACATTAAGCAGGGATTGCAACATGATCCCATTGCCAAATAGCTCTTCGCCTTGGCCCAACAAGGCAAGACGAAGAAGTTTTGGGCGGAAGACGGCCTGCTATATACAACGGGCAGGCGTGTGTACGTCCCGAAGTGGGCTAGCCTTCGACGTACCTTGATGAAAGAAGGCCACGATTCTGCTTGGGCTGGTCACCCAGGGCAGAAGAGGACCTTGGAACTACTGGAAGCTTCGTACTACTGGCCTCGGATGCGAGATGACGTCGAGGCGTATGTGCGAATGTGCCTTGTCTGCCAACAGGATAAAGTTGAGACAAAGGTACCAGGTGGATTGCTGGAGCCGCTGCCCATTGCTGAAAAGCCTTGGGACAGCGTCACCATGGATTTCATAACATGTTTGCCAAACTCGGAGGGCTTCGGAACAATTATGGTCGTGGTGGATCGTTTCTCCAAGTATGCGACGTTCACCGCCACCACGGCTAACTGCAAAGCCAAGGAAGCTGCCAGGGTCTTCCTACGTGATGTTGTCAAATACTGGGGCATTCCTAAACACATCATCAGCGATCGTGATCCCCGGTTTACAGGTTCGTTTTGGAGGGAGCTGTTTAGCTTGCTGGGGCCGGAGTTGCATTTCTCGACCAGTTTCCACCCTCAGACGGACGGGCAGACGGAGAGAATCAATGCACTACTGGAGTGCTATCTGAGGCACTATGTTAGTGCTAATCAAAGGGACTGGGCAAGGCTGCTAGACACTGCCCAGTTCTCATATAATCTATAGCGCAGTAAGGCAACGGGGAAGAGTCCGTTCGAGTTAGCGACGGGGTAGCAGCCAACAACACCCCAGTCTTTGCCTGTTGACACTGGTTTCAAAAGTCCAGGTGCCTATCAAATGGCCAAGGCCTGGGAAGAACAGGTCGACCTTGCACGATCGTACCTTGACAAGGCTGCCCGAAAAATGAAAAAGTTTGCTGATCGTAGGCGACGTCCGGTGAATTATCAGATTGGGGATAGAGTCATGGTGAAACTGAATCCCCGGCAATTCAAGTCACTGCGAGGCGTGAATCAGAATTTGATTCGCAAGTACGAGGGGCCATTTGAGATTGTTGCAAAGGCTGGCAAAATCTCCTATCGGGTAGACATGCCGCACCATCTGAAGATTCATCCGGTCTTCCACGCAAGCCAATTAAAGCCCTACTTTGAAGAAAAAGAGGATAAGGATCGGGGTCAGTCCGAGAGGGCCAGAATTTTCGCAGCGCCGCCTACTGTGGACAAACAGATTGAGGCGATCATTGATCACCAGCTCGTTCCTGGGAAAGGCTGGAACAATTCCAGTTCCCAGTTCTTAGTACACTGGAAGGGGATGGCGCCGGAGGAGGCAACTTGGGAGAAGTACGAAGACTTGTGGCAGTTCCGCGACAAGGTCCATCGGTACATGCAGTTATGTGGCGTCGGGGTCGTCGCCAGTTCAGGCGGGGGAGCGTGTCCCGCCCCGCAAGGCGGAACATTAAATTCCGTCAATTCCAAAAACGCTGCAGCTATTCCTCAAAGCTTGGAGGGTCCAAAATGTCTTGTCAAACTGCCTCCCCAAATGCTGGAGGTTGCTTGCCAACATGGAGAAAACAGGCCATGCTCACCAGGCCAGCCAAGGGGTGAAGGACAAAATTCTGTCCAAGCAGTCTGCCATGTGGCAGTAAAGCTGTGAAGACAAAGTTGCCTCCTCTCTAGCCTCTGAAAACCTGCCACTTGGAGCTTTTAATTTTGAATGTTTGCCCACACATTTTTGGCTCACTTTTGGAGCCTTTGTATATGGTAGAAGTTGCATTTTCAGCAGATAGTTAGAAAAATACTTCCTCTTACTTTGTAAAAGCTCTTGGAAAATATTGGAAAATTGGCCTTGCTGCCTCCCAAACTTGGTTGCCTTTCTTGCTTGCATTCTTGCCTTTATTTTCTGTTTTGTGGCTTTTCTTGTGGACTCTTGCTTTAGATTCTTTGGACGTTTGGTTGGACTGAAGTTAGAAGAGCTGTGCAAGTCTTCTTGACTGTCCTTCACGGTGCTGAAAAATTCACCCCGTGACACTAGGCTGATATTAGGAGGGGAAATCGGGAGAATTTTTTGATAGAACTTCAAACTCAAAATTTGAATTCCCCTTTAAAATAAGGCACTAACAGTATAGGCGTACTATTTGTCGAGGGAAAGGAGGAAGATGACGAAAATAAAGCTGGGCACGCCTTTTGCTTTCTGTGAAGACGTCGTTTGAATTTGTTGTTTGCCTGCTGTTGGCGTTGGAAGCTGCTGGAGTTAACTTGAAGTTGGTTTCTTAATTATATATATATTAATAAGTTTATAAAAAAACATATTTTTACTATAAAAACACATATCTATTTGATCTCCTAACAACATACACTAATAACTTTATTCTGAAATATATTTAATAATAATCATCAAAAGTCAAGTTGACATATCTATAAACTTTTCAAAAGTCATTCTTATCCTAAAATATATCAGTAATTAGGAAATTAGTATGTCAATTAATAAGTCTATAAACAGATTATACTATTAAAGCTGAATGTAATTTTTTTCACATCTACTATCAAGAAAGTATTTTTAGATAGTATATTCAACATCAAGCAAGGTTTCTACTTACTAGCTTTATATTTACAAGATTTTTTAACGTCTGACTTTATGCATTCACTATTATAAACTAATTATTATTTTCATTTTATTATTTGTGTAGATAAAATGAATACTTTCATCAACAATGAAGAGTTCAACAAGAAGAAAGTGATCTTCATAATGGGGACCACATGAACTGGAAAATTCTGTCTCTCTGTTGACCTTGCCACCAATTTTCGAGGAGAAATAATTAACTCAGATAAAATGCAACTTTACAAGAGACTTAAAATTATTACAA